CTCAGATACCTCTGAGCATTTTTACATGTCGCTGGGTGATGTCAAAAGGGAGGATAAAGAGCAGGAGGGCTTGGAAAAGGAGGTTATCTTGGGTTGTCTGCTGAGACGGTGGTTGTTCTCTAAACCCAGAGTCTCCGGTGTCTGGAGATGGTTAACTTTATGTCTGATAGGCGGAACTTTCAGACGGACAGGCCCCCGCATGACGAGTGTGTCCTGCTCTTCTTTTTCTGATCAGGCAATTCATGGCTGTCTGCATTAAAAATACTGTATTTCATGCTTGTGTTTAATTTTAAACACACTTTCAGCTGTCTATGTAAATACTTGATTGGAACAGAAACATTGGATTGTAAAATACGCCTCGTGCCTCCTTCCTGCAGAATCATCAACTATTGTCATTTTGGAGTCGGACAAAACCACTTTGAGAAACGTTTAGTCATGTTTTATCTGTGATCTGTCCCAGGTGGAGATGTGTGTACCTAGCCACCCCCACCCTCGAGCTGCTGGGGGAGTAGGATGTGAAAAGGTGGCAATTGATATCTGTATGTACAGATGAAAGGGACAGATATACATTGGTGTAGAAAAAACATGGGATGAATGGAGCTGATTGAACAGATAGATTACCGGAGCCAGACTGATAGACATCATGCAAACCTTGTCCTGTGTGTGTGTGTGTGTGTGTGTGTGTGTGTGTGTGTGTGTGTGTGTGTGTGTGTGTGTGTGTGTGTGTGTGTGTGTGTGTGTGTGTGTGTGTGTGTCTTGTGACTTTGATCACATCAGATGACTGCTGCATTGTTTAGTCTGCAGAAATGCCACATTTGTTCACATACAATAACCTAAACAAGACCAGTGAAATAGCTGTAAGGGCTTGCTCTTGTCAACATACACACACACAGAGGTAGATACGCCCTGGCTAGCACTCACATGCACCTGCCAGTTTTAAAGCAGCAGAGCGTAGCTGAGAGACACGCTGCTCGGGATTTGCATTGAATTCCTGCCCTGGTCCTCTGGGCTCGTCTCCCTTGGATTGCCCCAGAGATTATGCTCCAGTCTGGGTCAGTCCACTGAGTCTACTGACTCTTAATGCCTCTCCACCGTTTTCCTTAGGCTAGCTGAAAGAGCAGACCCAACTAATGGATCCATGATTGGGTTAAAGCTACAATTATCTATCTTTACCTCTCAAGTTGGGTCCATTAGTTGTATAGATAGTACCTGAGGCCTGACTCCAGGCGCAGAGGGAGGTATTGTCAGGATGATGGAACACACTGACCAGGGTTCATGATGGACACACACACACACACACACACACACACACACACACACACACACACACACACACACACACACACACACACACACACACACACACACACACACACACACACAGATAAAACTGTTTATATTGTAGAAAATACATGTGAAGAGTTGCTAATTTGTAGTAAATAATTACAACAGATTGAGGAGAAGAAAGAAGAAAAATTATTTGTACAGCACTTTCAAGATGAAAATCACAAAGCGCTTCACAAGAACAAAAAGAAAATAAAGTAGATGTAAATAAATATGGAGAAACATACCGTAAGCAGGAAATGAGCTAACAAGCCAACGAGCAGCAGCAGACCCACAGGAGTTCACATGAAAAGATTCAATTCAATCCAATTCAAAAATACTTTATTAATCCCAGAGGAAAATTGATTGCTGTAGTAGCTCAGAATAATAATAATAGTGATCAAGTTGTCAAAGAGTTATTGTATATTACAATGGCTGTTGACAGGAAGGATCTCCAGTAGCGGTCAGTGTTGCAGCGAAACTGAAGAAGCCTCTGACTGAAGACACTCTTCCGTTGTCGGACAGTCTTGTGAAGAGAAATCTCAGTGTTGTCCATAATGTTCTTGATTCTCTGGAGAATCCTTCTTTGCATTATCTCCTCCAGTGGTTCCACAGTCGTCCCCAGAACAGAACCAGCCTTTCTTATTAGGCTGTTGAGCCTTTTCAGGTCCCTGCTTCTGATGCTACTACCCCAACAGAAGATGGCTGAAGAGATTACACTCTCAACAACAGACTTGTAGAAGATCTGCAGCATCTTGCTACAGACATTGAAGGACCTAAGCGTCCTCAAGAAGTGCAGTCTGCTGTGCCCCTTCTTGTAAACGGCTTCGCTGTTCTTTCTCCATTCCAGTCTGTTGTCCAGGTGAAATCCAATGTATTTGTATTCCTCAACCACCTCCACTTCTTCTCCCATGACGGAAACAGTGTTTGGCTCCACCCTGTTTCTTCTGAAGTCTAAAATCAAATTGTTTTGTTCACGTTCAAGGTCAGATGATTGTTTCCACACCATGCCACAAAGCGCTCCACCAGCTCTCTGTACTCAGCTTCCTGTCCATCTCTGATACACCCGACAACTGCAGAGTCATCTGAGTATTTCTGTAGATGACAGGTCTCTGATTTGTACTGGAAGTCTGAGGTGTACAGGGTGAAAAGGAATGGTGAGAGTACAGTCCCCTGTGGTGCTCCAATGTTACTGATCACCTGGTTTGATGTGCAGTTCTTCAGCCTCACAAACTGTGGTCTGTTTGTCAGGTAGTCTTTAATCCAGGCGATAGTTGAGGCCCCCCACCTGTGTCTTCTGGGGTTTCTGGCAAAGTACATCAGGCTGGATTGTGTTAAATGCACTGGAGAAATCAAAGAACATGACCCTCACAATGCTGCCTGCTTTGTTCAGATGACAGTGGATTGGTTGAAGCAGCTGGATGATGGCATCTTCAACTCCAACTCCATGGCGATAAGCAAACTGCAGCGGGTCCTGATATGTCCTAGTTTGCTTATTCAGGTGGACCACCAGGAGTCTCTCCAGGACCTTCATGATGTGGGATGTCAGGGCAACCGGTCTGTAGTCGTCATTGACTGATGGGCGAGTTTACTTTGGAACTGGAACAAGGCAGGATGTCTTCCACAGGACTGGAACCTTCACCTGGGCCAGGCTGAGGTTGAAGAGGTGCTGCAGAATCCCACAGAGCTGCTCTGCACAGGCCTTCAGTACTCTGGGGCTGACACCATATGGACCTGCAGCCTTGTTTCTGTTCAGTCTCTCCAGCTGCCTCTTCACCTGACTTCTAGAGACAGATAGGTGGGAGGGGGAGGTAAATGGGGCAGCAGCATCTCCTGACTTGGTTGAAGACAGATTTATAGAACCAGAAGAGTCCATGACTGCGTTAGAGGACAAAAGAGCTGGTGTGTGACAGGAAAATGTTGGATCAGAGGAGGATGGGATGTCTGATTGGCTGGGGACAGGCGAGGAGGATGCTGGGTTTGTTCCTGAACTGAACCTATTGAAGAACTTGTTCAGTTCATTGGCTGTGTCCAGGCTGCCATCTGTGCAATCCTTCCTCTGCTTGAACCCTGTGATCTTCTTCATCCCTGACCAGACATCTCTGATGTTGTTCCTCCGTAGTTTGTTCTCCAGCTTCTTGCTGGTGGCTATCTCCAGCGGTCAATGGGCAATCAGACGGGGTACACCCTGGAGAGAGAGCCTGTCCATCGCAGTCTGGTGAACTCTCTTGGCAAATAATATGGGCGACAACTTACTGCCAAGAGTTCAACATCTGGGCTGCAGAGATGACATTTCACTGAAACATAACCTGGATGGCACCATCTGTTGTTGACAAGCACTGCCACTCCACCTCTTTTTCTTTTCCCGCTCCTCTTCAGATCTCTGTCTGCTCGTACAGTCAGGAATTCTGGCAGAGAGACGCTGGAATCGGGGATATGGTCCTGCAGCCACGTCTCAGTGAAACACATAACACTGCATTGCCGATACTCTGGCTGAGTCCTTGAAAGGGCTTGGAGTTCATCCATCTTGTCTGCCAATGATCTCACATTGCCCATTATGATCGATGGAAGAGATGGTTTGACTTTCCTCTTTCTCTGTCCCCGTTTTGCTCCCGCTCTGCATCCACGCTTCTTGCATTTTAGTTCATTTGAGATTTGTGGCTTCAGTTGAGTTATTATTTCACCTTTTCCAATGTTAATCAGCTGCTCCCGATTGTAAACCAGCTTGTTGCCATGGTTACACATCATAACAGATGCTCAAAAGAGAAAAAAATAGTAGTAAAAATCCTCTGAGCTTCACAACACCAGAAACAGAAAAGTAAAAGGTACAAAAAAAAAACAGTTTTTCTTAAGATGAGTTTTGAGCTGCATTTTAAAGGCCAATTTCTGTTTTTTACTTGTTATTTTTTAACCATAATCGGTCACGATGAGTTTAAGATGCAGGCTAAACATGAAAATACTCTTCAACTTCTATTTCCTGCATTTGCCACCGACAGAAAGTAGATGAGGAAACACTCAAATTTGAAAAGCCTGACAATTGCAGTTGAAGTGTCTAATCAACATACATGGCCTTTCCCATCCTCACTCACAACAAGGAAGGCTGTTATTGGTTTAGCATTCAGGAAACAGCAGAGCATGTCTCGACTAGTAGACGCTAACCATTAGCATTAGCCACTCCACCTCACAGCAGAACTCCTTCAGGCTTGTGTCATTTGTGAAGATAAAACAGCAGTGTTGCAGAGCAAACAGTCAGTGGTAGAGTCCCATTTCTGTTAACCAATCAGAGGTGAGATGTCCAAATCTCAGGGAATAAGTTCCACTTAACTCTGCTGTTGCTATCTTCTACTTCCTGAAACAGGAGCGCCAGAGCTTTTTTCCTCCTCAGAGATCCTCTCGCAAGACATTCACTTATACTAGAGACCACTGCAAATGCTTTGAAAAAAACAAGTGTTTAAGTCTCCTTTAAATGGAGGTAGTGTCGTCAAACTTTCAGCTACATTATATTAACTAGTTAGTAATTAGTTAACCAACTACTGCAACAGCCGGAACAAAGAGTGCCTTTAGAACAGGTCATGTTAACAGCCATCATGCATTTACAGTGATGCTGTCGCCAAGATCTATTGTGTTTTTCTATTTATTCAGCTGTCATTTTGCTTTCTGTTTGCTTTTATTTGTAGACGAGCTCACCTGCGGCTATGTCTAGAGAGGTTGAAGGCCCTCATACCTCTGGGACCTGACTGCAGCCGCCACACCACCCTGGGCCTACTCAACAAAGCCAAAGCACACATAAAGGTACATCTACAGATACTGGGCACCTGTACACTGAGTTCTACGGCCACCCATTTAGACACCGGTCTCTTGTCCATTCATATTTCTCAAGCTTCAATAGAAGCAGTGAAAGTGACCCTAAACGCCAAAAAGCATTTGCAATTATAGTTGCCTCTTGTGTGACATCAGAAACTAAATAAGTTAGAACGTAAAACAACTGGTGTTCAACAGCACATCAAAACTGTTATCTATATCCAAGTCTACAGTGGTTGTAGAATACAGCAGCTGTGGATAGAAACAGCTGAATATGTCATTGTTGTGATTTCATCGTGCTACAGTGGTCTGAGTCAACAATGCTTAGAGATTTCTGTCTTTGATGATTTGGCCTCAGCAGAGTGAAGGCTTCAATTCAATCCAATTCAAAAATACTTTATTAATCTCAGAGGGAAATTGATTGCTGTAGTAGCTCAGAATAATAATAATAATAATAATAATAATCAAGTCATCAAAGACTTATTGTATATTACAATGGCTGTTGGCAGGAAGGATCTCCAGTAGCGGTCAGTGTTGCAGCCATGGACGTCACTAGGATTGAGATATAGGGGGGGGCTTAGCCCCAGGAGCTTGACCTTGAACGTTTTTTGTCACACCCTGCAAAAACTTTGTCAATTAATTCATTATCTTACTTTTACTTACTTTTATTCGCTTGCTTTTACTACCTAGCTATTTTATCGATGGTTTATTTACATTGTTCTTTTACTGATTTTATTGACTTCTCATGGTTGGTTCTTTGTGCTTTGCTCTAGTTGTTTTATTCTTTTATATTATTATTTTAACCCTATATGTTTTTACCCCTGTACAGCACTTTGGTCAGCTCACATGCTGTTTTTAAATGTGCTTTATCAAATAAATGGAATGGAATGGAATCTGAAGAACATTTAACAAAACCTCAAGAAGTGCAGTCTGCCGTGTCCCTTCTTGTAAACGGCATTAACCAATATCTACTGGCCCGAAACAGTGCAGAGAGTTTAGAGACGATCATCGACCTGCTGGAAATTATAACTAAAAGCAATAAAGTGCCAGTTAAGTTAAAGAGGTCCTTTTCTCATAAGCCGTGTTTCCATTGCCAGAACTTCAGCTGCGCTTGTTTGAGCATAGATAATTGAGCTGGAGGAGAAAGTAGACAACTCCATTTCCTGACATTCTGACATCTCGCTTCAGATTGACTAACAGCAACTCAATTCTACCACCGACTCCTTTTCCTCTGCAACGTTGATGTTTTATCTCCACAAATAACACACGCCTCGAGGAGTTCTGCTGTGTGGTGGAGTTGCTGATGCCAGCAGTTAGCTAGTCGAGTCGTTCTCTGCTGTTTCCCGGACGCTCAACCAGCAACAGCCTTCCCCGTCACGAGCCAAGATGGGCGAGTCCAAGACACAGCTTGATGTAGATCTGTCAGGCTTTTCAAATCCACGCGTTTCTTTTCTATCAGAAGCTAATGCAGGAGATAGGTGCAGGAGACTATTGTCGCGTTCAGCCTGCATGATGATGTCAGAGTGACTGATCATTTTCAGAAATAATAAGTAAAAGATGGTTTCTCAGTGAAGGACCTCTTTAAAGAAAGTTGAGTTACTCCCAAAGTCAGTAGCTCAATGGGCTGTGACTGTTGGCAGCTAGTAAAAGACACAAAAAACAAGAAAATATTCCAAATCTTAGTAGGATTGTGCTGTATTGTTGTAGAAATGGTACATAGAACATGTTTGAGATACGGCAGGGTTAAATTGAGGGTGTGAAGTTATTGCAAAAGAATTACAACAGCTGCACAGGTGTCAAGCAAATGTTTTTATTCCATTTTTGATTCTTTTTTAAACACAAATAAGGTTTTTCTTTTCCTTGCTGACGTTTCGTTTGCGGCTGCAAACATCTTCAGAGCTGATGCTGATGGCGGCGTCACTTCCTTCTCCGTTTATCCGCGGGCAGCAGAGGACGTTGTCGCCCTCTGCTGCCCGCTCTCCCCTCTCCAATGACGCAGTCGAAAGTGAAAGAAACAAGTCGAAGACACACAAGAGCAGGAAAAGAAGAAGCAGAAAGTACAGTAAAGAAATCGGCCGTAACAGATTTCTGCACAAGAGAAAACCATATAATGGACTGGGACAACACAAGGATCATAAACACCGAACAACAGAAATACAAAAGATGGATAAAAGAAACTATAGAGATAAGGAGACGTGGATGTGGGACCATGAACAGAGACGATGGAGTTTACTCATTGGATCGCGCATGGGACTGCATCATCAGGGAGGGGAGAGCGGGCAGCAGAGGGCGACAACGTCCTCTGCTGCCCGCGGGTAAACGGAGTAGGAAGTGACGCCACCATCAGCGTCAGCTCTGAAGTTGTTTGCAGACGCAAACGAAAAGTCAGCAAGGTAAAGAAAAACCTTATTTGTGTTTAAAAAAGAACCAAAAATGGAATTTGAAGACAAACACAGCAAGAACGTACAAAAACTGTTTTTATTGCAGCTTTGTCTCAGAGTCTTAGTAATGTCTCATTCGTTCCCCTTTTCTTTTGCCAGAATGTTCTTTTACTTTCTGTTTCACAAAAACTAAGTTTAGATTTTTGTTTCACACGGCTTCCTGACCCGCGACGTCTCTTTGACTAGAAAAATGTGTTGTGCAGATTTTGTTTTTAACCTTTTCAGAATTCAAGCGACCCATTAGCGAGATCATGCTAATCTATACATCAGAGAGCAGAGCTATCATCCACAGCAACCAACACCTACCATGTCTGACATCAAAGGAAAAAGACTTTGAGCTTCCGTAATACGAAAGAGGAAAGTTTAACATATTCCATTTTCTACATTTATTTATTCATTAGTGCACGGCTAAAATGTCAGAAGGACATACGTGTAATGAAGTCAATAGAGGGTAAATTGGATTAAATAAACTGCTTAAGAGCTATTTATTTCTATTCTCATTACTTTGTGACCAATAGCTGTAATACTGTATTAATATAGATTATTACCTTGCTTGGTCGTTGGATGATTAATTAGAAGGTTCTAGGGTTCTTTTAATTATTAAGGGATCGTCACACTTCGCTTTGATTCAGGAACCAGTCAGTGTTTGCAAACAAATAAGAATTTATTCTACAAACAATTTTAAGCCTTGACAAATGGTTTAAACTAGTATTTTCTGTGAGTGGGTGCGAACTAAGAGATGGGTGTCTGGAACTAGGTGTGAATATAGTATTTCAGAGTCAAAATCTCCGCATCTCAGAGAGAGGTGAGTTCTGGATAATAAAAGAATTTGGTTTGCATCTGACCTGTAAGCTGGTCTTATCAAACTGCATACAGACGCTAGCTCACTGTGTTCTACGTACCCAAGTGGAGACGCCCTTGCGGATCCGAGGTATCAGGGGGTTGGAGATCCCGGGGACAGAAGTCCGTAGACTAACTTCTAGTACGACCAGGTCGGTCCAGGATCGCTCCAGGTAACACAGGTGGACTGGATGAAACCAAGCATCTCAAAACCACTCTGAAGGAGTGTTGCAAAATCAGCTTTGTTCTGCAGGAAAAATCTCTTGTTGTCCTCAGCTTTGCAGGTGCAAAAGCTTAAGGTTTTGACAGTGTGTCAAAATCCTTTGGTAGCTCAGCTAAAGGTGGCCAGTCTTAAACCCTCGTTCTGTTGGAGGTTCGAACTTGTCTCCGGGTGGAAGCAGAGCGGCTGGTTTTATAGCCTGCTGTTTATCTATTACCAAAGTTATCAAGAATTCTCAGAACGCACCCTCTGTGATGCAGAGCCGCTTAAGCCCCATTCCCACCTGTACCGGGTCGGCCCGGGCCGGGTAGCGTAGGTTGTTTACATATCTGGGTGGCCTGGTATTTTCCCGGGCCAACCAAGGCTCATTCTCGGCCCTCTTCCCGAGGGGTACTGCTTCAGGCCGACCAGGGCCAACACGCCCACTGCTGACAGCAAATTCACACCTTCCATTAGAGCAAGCCTCTGATTGGTGGGTAGAATCAGCCCACATGGGCTTAAGACAAGGATGTGTGGAATCAACCGTGCCAGGCTGGGGCCGACTGGGGCTACCCGGCCCGGGCCGACCCGGTACAGATGGGAATGGCCCATTAGTCTGCGAAACAAGGTTAGTTTATGTGTAATGCTTCTTAATTTAGCCTTACCTCTTGTCTGGTGTGAGTGATCTAATCCAGCAAACATATTTAGCATCATTGAACATATTTGTGAAACACTTCATTTATAATTATACATGGCAATATTTAGTGATTATTAATTGTAAGATCTTCTTTTCTTCAAGGATTATTCTGAAATATAAAATTATTACTTATTGTCATGTTGAGAGCAGGAGGTTAGGACCCAAGGTGCAGGAAATCCAGAACACACAGGCAGGAGCAGTTGAAAAGTAAAAATCCTTTATTTAGGAGGAGAACCAAAAAATCCAAGGGGCGAAGGCAAAAACCCGATAACTAAACTAAGACCAAAATCCAAAAGCTCACTTTCTGAGCAGAGATCTAAAGACTGAGACTAGAGACTAAAGACTGGAGACAGGAGACAGGAGACAGGAGACAGGAGACAAAACAACGCTGACCAAGACAATGAACCAACAACCACAGAGTGACAAGACAAGGCTTATATACACATGGAGAACAATTAAGGAAACAGGAAGCAGGTGTGTGGAGTGAGGGCTGGAGGGAAGGCAGGTGACACAAATTATCTAAATGGGGAAAACAGAACCAGTGGAGGGCAGAAAGACCTAAAACATAAAACTAAGGCCTAGTCCACACGTAGCCGGGGTTTTTTAAAAACGAATATCCGCCCCTCCAAAAACTTGCATCCACACCACAGCGTTTAAAAAAAAAACTCTGTCCACACGTACCCGGATAAATACGTTGTTAAGGACATGCCAGACCTGTAGGCGGCAGTACTTCCCCCGTTCTTAACCTCGTCCTTCGTCTGTGGTCTTCCACAAGGAGCAGTAATTCCTCTTGCAAAACCAAACAAGCAGAAAGCGCTTGGACAAATGATAAAGCGAGCGCAGCTCTGAGGGCATCCATGCTGTCGGCTAGTGTAAACACAGGTCGCACACGTGATGTCAGCATTTTTTGTCGTGGAAAGTGACGTTGCGGACCTTAAAACTTCGGTTTTGTCCGTCCACACGCAGACAACCAAAACGGAGAAAACGCAGATCTTCACTTTGGCCGGAGTTTTTAAAAAGATCCGTTTTCGTGTGAAAAAACTCCGTTTTCATGTGGATGACAGGCCAGAACGTAGAAAAATGTCTACGTTTTGGCAGATCCCCGGCTACGTGTGGACAGGGCCTAAACCTAAGACTGAGGGAAGGACATACACACACACACAAAAATACTGAGCAGGGGACAAAGAGGCTGGAGCTACAGAACGTGAAGGAAGAGCTGGAGGGCAGGGGATGAATGAATGACACAGGACCTGGGAGGAATTGACTTTAAAGGGCTACAAACATAAGACACAGAATGAAGGGGCAGATGCAGACCATGACACTTATATTATAAAATCTTCTTTTCTTCTGGGAGTAAAAAGTTTATTTTAGGAGTTCTCCTGTGAGGAACCTTGGGGAAAGGAATGCTACTGTTCATCTTTAATATCTGATGAAGCTTCAGTTCAGCTGATGAAGTCATCTGATTAAAGAGCCTGCGTGCAGACATTCCATCTCCTGTCAGGGTAAAATACAGCAGAACGTGTGTAGCCAGGGTTATTTGCTCTGGCCGTGCATATGAACTGTGGGATCTCACAATCAGTCCATCTGGTGACGTGACATACGTATACGCGGTTTTGTTAGGGCTGCGCTTAAATTGTCACTCATCTGCTTAGCTGTTTATTTCTGAGTAAACGGTGGGTTGACGTTGCACCGTTGTTTGTTTGCTTTTAGATATTTGCATTTGTCACATGCTGCTGTGGGGAACTTCCCTGTTTTATAGTGGAGCTTTGAATATTATATAATCACAAAGAGATTCAGCTTTGCAGTTTTCAATGGAGTTGTAAAAAAACCAACCAAAACCGGCCTCAGATGGAGCAGTCTGCGTGTGAAAAACGCCACTCAGTGAGCGTTCACGTGTCTGGGAGGGCCAAGTATAAAGCTGATATTGTTGTTGTACACACACACATACCCTCCTCCTCCCTGCACTCCTGCTGCTGTCAAACAGAGTCTCTCCTTAGCTTATCGATGGTCTATTGTTGTTTCTCCATCACTCAGAGTCACGCTCGGTGGCGATGGCGAGTGTGACTCGAGGCTGGAAGGTTAGATCCCCGCTCTGCTGTGTCAGGCGCCGTCTCGGCCCGCATCATAACCACAGAACACATTATAAAAGGAGCAAAGACGAGAAACTTAACAAGAGCGGAAAATCGTTTTCAGGGCTGGAAGGAAGAAAATCCACAGACACGAGATGTTTAGCTGCGTAACCGCTAGAAACGGGGGTGTTGGTCCGTCCATTTAGTATTTTGGTTCGACCCTTTGGCCAAGGTCAACCACTTTGTAGAGCTCGTTTGAGTTCTTTTGTATTAATAAAGCAAAAATAAAATGACTTTTAAAAAATACCTAGAAATGTTAAACAATGTAAAATATAATATATAAAAAATCTAAATACTTTGAGCGTGTTTGAATAAAACGTGATTAACATCAGTGTTATCATTTCTACATTTTTATTATGGCGTTCCATTGTCTTATAGCTGCTAATGCTCCCAATGAGTAAAAATGTAAGAATTTATGGGATTTTGTGTTGAGTTGATGTTCATGGATGGGCTGGGGGTAAACGATTATTTTTAAAACGATTATTCTGACGATTATTTTATCGAATAGTCGACTATTCTAATGACTATTTAGAAAATTAATCTAATGATTATTTTTCTATTGCACAATTAACAAAAACCAGAAAATCTCAAATAAATTCCTCAAAAAAATTGATAAATTTTTACTGTAAGAGAATAAACACTACAGGCCTTCCATTTTGTATAACACTGCGTTTATTGTGTTGGTTGGTTATGTTCTGGTGACGTGTAGAACTTGGGAGTGCAGGCTGCTGCCTGAGAGGTGGTAGAAGATGGAGTGTCTCCATGCTGCTTTGTTTTGGTCACTTATGTGCGTGAGGCGAGTGGTCTTACGGGTTAAACCAAACTCAGGTGGTATTTTACACTAAACCGAAAACCCACAACACTCTAAATGTAATAAAACGGAGATCTACACCACAAAAAAGATGAACTCTAAACCAAAACGTAACAGCTTATCCCAACGCAAGAAGCTGTTAGCGAAGTTGCTAACAGTAGCTTTACCAACGTTAAGTTCAAGTTACCAAGTTTAAATAAACCAAAAACACCCAGCAGCAAACAGACCAGCACGGAGGAGAGACTGCTACCACCAAAACAGCTCTCCTCATGTCTGAAAGAAGCTCCTTTATGAAGGGAGAAACGCTCCCGGTGATTTTCTACATCTGCGATAGACACGAAGCAGCGCATCTGACCCCGGAAGTTGTTGTCCGTTGCCGGGAGACGAAGGCGGGCAAAACAGGAAAATAATCTAGTAGTGGACGGACGTTGTTCCGGGTCTTCGGTATTTGGCGGAGATGTTAGTGAAGGCGGAGAAGAGGGCGAACTAGAGGAAAAACAGGCAGATTCCTCCTCTATTTACAAACTCCTGGGGATGCAACAAGTGGGCGCGGTGCGTCGACTTCCGGATCTGACGTCGACAAATTTTTAGAATCGAGCCGTCGACTTCGTCGAGGCTTCGCTACAGCCCTAATGGATGCCACCTCTCTCCCTCCGAGGAGCTACTGATTAAACCTGAAGCATTTAAAGAATATTAAAACGGACTGCAGATCCAAGACTGTGTCAGCCATAGGGACCAACCTCTAAAATAGTGTAATAATTATGGTTCCATCAGAACAATAAAGGGTCTAAGTAAATTATGATGATTAACTTATCCCCCACTCCCCCACCCCACCAGAAACTTGAAGAGGCGGACAGGAAGAGCCAGTACCAGCTGGAGTCTCTGGAGCGCGAGCAGAGGCACCTACAGCGTCAGCTGGAGCTGCTGGGGGGCAGCGGTGGTGTCCAGAGCAGCCCGGGGGAGGGCGAGAGGATACGCATAGACAGCGTTGGCTCCACCCTCTGCTCCGACCGATCCGACTCCGATCAAGGTGAGCGAGCGTCCGGCCTCACGCCACTGTTCACTCTGGCATCACCCAGTTTGGAACCGGGCCAAGTGATGCTGGAGGGGCGCAGGAAGAAAATATGAAGCGTTTGTTAGTTTGTTTGTTTGTGTTAAAAAAGTTTCTGATTTGATTCCAAATCACTCATTGAGTTATAAAAACAGGTTTGTAACATTGTTCCTCTCTCTCTTCCTCTCCTTGATCTCGCTCTCTCTCCCTCTCCTCTCTCTCTTCCTCTCTCTCTCCTTCCCTCTCTCTTTTCTTGCTCTCTCTCGCGCGCTCTCTTCCTCTAACCCCCTCCAGAAGAGATCGAGGTTGACGTGGAAAGCACGGAGTTCTCCCATGGAGAGCTGGACAGCGTGAGCACAGCCAGCACCAGCGACCTGGACGACCACAGCAGCCTGCAAAGCATGGCCAGTGACGAGGGCTACTCCTCCTGCAGTGTCAAACTTGCCTTCTCCTCCTAAAACCACCGCCTCCACCACCACCGCCCTGCCAAACCCACCTGTCCTCTCATCTGTTCACCCCTCTATCCATCCAGCCGTCGCCGGCTACTTCTGGCCTTTGTTTCGGCACATCTTCCATCCACGCTGGTGGGTCTGCAGCAGGAGCTCCGGCCTCGCCGGTACCAGGGACTCAGACGTAGTGATGCAAGACTGGCTCCATCTGAAGGGAGATCAGATACGAGTAGTTCCGATTTTAGAGTTTTTAAAAGATGGACAACCCCTAATTTAACTCAAAAGGCACTTAAAACCTTAAAATAGATGTTCTGAGTTCAACGTGGCTTTGTTCTGAGCTGACCCGCTTTTAGTTCGTCTCACTGGTTTTGCTGTCTCAGATCAACTTACTTAACAACGGGGTGAATTTTGCCATATCAGTCCAGCTTGGCCTTGAAAACCATCCCGACCTGCATAAATCTAACCCTTATCTGATTATTTTTAATGTTTTTATTATAATTATTATTATTATTATTTTATTATCTCTGCTCTACGTCACAGAGGCTTGGACCTTAACGTTGGTGCTATTGAGGCACAAACCAACAGACGGAGAGGGGGATCAGATCCGCCTCAGAGCTCGTCTGCTATCGCTTTTAACCGAGCACGAAAGGAAACGGCCACAAGAGTGGAGGAACAGAAAAGAAAACTCTAAAAAAATAAAAATAAAAAAATACATTCCTGCCGATTGTGGGTTCTTAATGCTTTGGTTTTTTTTTTTTTTTTTTTTAATATGGAAATTGTAATTTTGTGTGTTTTGTTTTAGTCCCTCCCCCTAAACCACCACCCAAAAAGCAAGAACAAGCTATCCAGCACTTACCTTCTTTAGAGGTAATTGTGAAAAAAGGCACAACACACACACACACACACACACACACACACACACACACAAAGAACAGCTAAAATCTCTTAAGACCCTTTCTCCAGCAGTAACTAGCAATAAGTCGTGCCATTTTCGTCACCTTCCTGTTTTCTCCTCCTTAAAGACTCCTATGACCGTCCCATTAAAGAAAGCAAATTATTATTTTTTTGTACATAGTAATAGCTTAACAAATAAAACTTTAAAAATGAGGGTTTTATAAGCTAGAGCTCATGGATAGAAGGGTCACCTCTGTTGCTGTTTGTTTATGGTGCATTTTGAAACTTTTTTCTTTTATTTTGGAGGATTTTTAGCTCCACATACACGGTCGTCTCCTCTCCTGAGTGGCAGTGAACGCATCATTTCTTTGCTGGTTAAAGTGTTGAGTTCCCATCCCGAGACTGAACCGGATATTTGTAGTTTTGTGTTTTAAAGCATCAGAGCAGCTTTTATTCTGCACACTTTTTTTTAATTTATTGTATTTTTTTTTCTTGTTTTTTTTCTTTTTTTTTTTACTCGTGCATGTGGCATTCCTCTGGTGGTCCGTGTAGGAAACGGGTTGTGTGATGTCACAAATCACCACTTCACTGGCATTATGAATTGCACTTCAGCCGCCGTTCTCTCTCCCGCGGCCGTGTTGCGCTCCCATCCAGAAAAATAAACCCCCCCCCCCACACACACACACACACACACACTTTTCTATTTATTTTGGGATCTTACAAAGAGCACAAGTAAGGAGGAAAATAAATGCTAACTTATTTTGGTTCTGTTTTACTTTACTCTTTCTTTTTTGATGAACACTTCTCATTCTTTATTAGAATTTTTTGTATTTTATTAATTATTGTTTAGTGGATGATTTTTTCCAGGGGAGGAGGGATTAAAAACAAAATGTAGCCATTTTAATTTCATTGTTTTACTGAACGGACATTTGAAATGTACTCTGGGCCCCTGAGCTGCTCCTGGTGCTGCGCCGGGTCCGACCCCCCCCAGCAGCACGGGGTGAGACGCACGGATCCAAACCCGTTCCGAGGCTCCTCACTCCGTGTCTGGGCCTGCTCTGAGGAGGGAGTCGCCTGGTAGAATCTGAGCCAGCCTCACAATAAAAGGGGTCTAAAGCTCTTGTGAACCCTGACATCTGCATGGATCGTTGTTGCTTCAGTTTTCAGTGCAGCTCTGAGGGTTTAGAGAAAAGAACAAACATTTAGGTTCCTCTGGAAGGTTCTGCACACAAAACCTCTGCTGTGTTCTGATGAGGTTGTTGGACTTGGCACCAAATCAAAAAGTTCAAACACTTTTTGGTGCTTGATTATTTAAACAAATGCCAAAAATATCACCTCTGAACACCTCAGTGCTCTCTCTCTCTCTTTCTCTCTCTCTCTCTCTCTCTCTCTCTCTCTCTCTCGCTCTCTCTCTCTCGCTCTCTCTGAGGAACAGTTTACATTTTTCCTGCCCTGTTTAATTTAATATTCTTCATCCTATTGTTGCTTTATCTCCATTTTTTTCTTGCGTTTGTTTTATGCACTGCTGGCAGAAGAAGGCTCCACAGACGTGTTTATCTCCCCAAAATCACACGTTTAATCAGTGCAACACGAATCTGTTCCGCTGCACAAATCAGAGCATTTGGAAAAGCTTTGTCTCCAAAGTGGCAGAAAACTGATGTTGTGAACCCTGACATCTGCACGGATCGTTGTTGCTTCCGTTTTCAATGCAGCTCTTATGTTGTGCTGAGTTGAACTTTGTTGCAGACTGGTCCTGGATCAGTTTGCTGGGAGTTAATTGGCAATCCTGCAGATTCATACCTTCACAAGCTGGCTTTCACAATGAGGTGGGTTCCACCTCTCTGGACTTTGGGTCAGTTGGGTTTTAGTTTGGGAAGTGGGCCGTCTTGAGTAGAACCTCTGGCGGTTCTGGTGCAGTCCTGTGTGCAGTAGAGAGCCCTCCTGTTGTTCTCCAGCTGTGGCCATTCTTTGTGAACCAAGCACTCATGATGATGATGATGATTCTAGTGATGAAGATGCAATACTTACAATAAAACCACCACGATTTTCAAAGCTAAAGGACTGAAACATGTCTATCCTGAATGTACTGTAAAGCAATGGCTCGCACTAAGATAAATAAAGTTTGTGACTACAAAA